TGGGTTTAAGGGTTTTGGCCGGCTGGAACCCCACACCCTAAGCCCTAAATCCTAAACCTGTTTAAAACCCCGAGGCGTTCTTCGGTGTTGAAAGCCTTCGAGGTTTCACAGGCCATGCACGTGGTGTCTTCAGATGGCCAAGATCCTAATTTAGACCTTAAGCCCTAAACCCCTAAACCCTAAACCGTATAAACCTTAAACCCTATACACCCTGAACCCTACCTAACCCCAAAGCCCTAAACCCCTAGAAACCGCCCCGGGTCCAAAAATGGCTGGGCAGTGGGCTACCTCCGTGGTTGGGGAGTTCTTTACACGACGGTCCCTTGTGTTTCCGGCTCCATTTTACTGGGAAACCTGTGACAATCTGACCATCAAATGAAGCCCCTAAACACTCTAAACCACTAGCAGGTACGGCTTTTGAGTCATCATCCACCCCCTAAACACCCCCCCCCCCCCACCGCAGATCTGTGAGCCCAGCTCAGAACCCCACCAACCTTTTGCCCAATGGGGTTTGCTCTCTAAACATATCAGGTTTACCTTGCATAAGGCCAAGGGCCGATATATATGTAGAAAATGGAATAATTAATATACTGTAGAATGTATGGGGTTTTGGGGTTCTCTTTCTTCAATTTCTGCTTTGGGGGGAGGGTTCTTTTTTAGAAGGTATTCCATGACAAACACAACACCTCGAAAGAAAACATCACCTAGAATAAGCCCCTGAACCCTAAGTCCCGAAACGCACTTCGAGTAACCCGCCCGAAATGCGCACAACGACCCTATAAGGACCTTGAAGGGAAAGAACTTCGTGTAGAGTTTGGGGTTGGGGGTTTACGGTTTCAGCCCTAAACGCTAAACCCTGAACCCCTAAACCCTCAGTGAAGGAGAGGCACTGTTGAAACCCTAAGAACCCTAAAAAACCCTGGAAAAACCAAAAACCCTAAAACCCCAAACCTCAGTGAAGAGAGGCGGTTGTGGGGGGGGGGGGGGGGGGGGGGGGGCACTGTTGCATGAGCCGCTCGGGTGAGGCCGGTTCGCCGCCATAGCCGAAGGCGGAAGGAAGGGCATCCTGTCAAGTGCAAGGGCCGAAATCTAAGGGGGATAGTCACATGGGGTTTAGGGTTTAGGGTTTAGGGTTTAGGGTTTAGGGTTATGTGGTCCCTTAAGGGTTCTGATGTACGGGCCCCTGGGGGTTGTATAGGGGATATACGGGGTGCCTAACGGGCCTGACCTCGGGGACCAGATGAGCCCTAAAAGGAGCTTAGACCTAAGGACGACATACTCTAAAGCCCAAATGGGTGGTTGTCAAAATTATGGTCCCAGTTGGTCCCTATTATAATACGGCACCTAATATTTAGGGTACCCCAAAAGGGATCATAATTTTGACAGCCACCCAAATATATACTGCATAGATACATGAGGACTGATCTCTGTGTATGTCTTTATGCTGGCCGAATAGAAGCATGCGATGGACAAAAAAGAACTGCGAACGAAAGCCCTCGGAAGTCCATAGTGTATACGGGTTTAGGGTTTAGGGTTTAGGGTTGAGGGCTTAGGGTTTGGGGCTGTGAGCAACTTTCATCTTTGCTTAGAATACGAGAATATCATGAGTATATGATAGTGTCAATAAGAATCACGTGCCACATTCGTTTCACCCACATCACATGTAGTCTAACTGACCAGCAAAATGACAGATAGCGCCGTTACTCCTGCTAACGATTTCCAGGAATGAATGGGAGACTGTGAGAATCTAGGGTGGGGAAACCTTCCTTGCATAACAAAAAAAGTTGGAACGCATGGGCAAGAGGACTACCAACTCTCAAAAATGGGGCGGCGCGCTGCCCTGCAATTGCTTGTTGGCACCAGCGTCCGGCAGCGAACGTGCGATGTCAACGCGGCCCTCGGAAGATCCCTACGTGATGATTGTCAACTCACCTTACATGGCAGGCTCTTCGCAGCAGTGAGCGCAGCCCCAACCTGAGAGTGGTGCATCGAAGATGCGTGCATGAGAGCAGTCATGCCGTCCCCGTCCTGCAAGTTCTTGTTGGCACCAGCATCCAGTAGCGAACGTACAATCTCCACGTGGCCGTGCAGAGATGCGTGCATGAGAGCAGTCACGCCTTCCTTGTCCTGCAAGCTCTGTTTGGCACCACCGTTCAGCAGCGACCGTACAATCTCATCGTGGCCTTGCACAGATGCGTGCATGAGAGCGGTCATGCCGTGATCGTCCTGCATGTTCTTGTTGGCACCAGCATCCAGCAGCAAGCGTACAATCTCAACATGGCCGCGAAGAGACGCGCCAATGAGAGCAGTCATTCTGCCAGCCCCGCCGAGAAGGTCTGTGTCAGCACCTCCTTCCAGCAGCAAACGCGCAGCCTCAACGCGGCTGTGGACAGATGCATGCGTGAGAGCGCTCATGCCGTCTTTGTCAAGCAGGCTCAGGTTCGTGTCGGCACCAGCTTCAAGCAGCAAACGAACACTCTCAACGTGGCCGCTGACAGATGCGCGCATGAGAGCGGTCAAGCCGAGTACGCTCTTCAAGCTTGGGTCGGCACGGGCATCCAGCAGCAGGCGTACAATCGCGACATGGCTCTCGGAAGATGCGTACATGAGAGCGGTAAATCCATTAAAGTCCTGCAAGTTCTTGTTGGCACCAGCATCCAGCAGCAAACGTACAATCTCACCGTGGCCACGGATAGATGCGCGCATGAGCGCGGTCGTGCGTACCCTGTCCCTGATGTTCTTGTTGGCACCCGCTTCCAGCAAAGCGCGGGCCACTTCCACATGTCCTGTCTCGGCAGCATACTGCAAAAGCTCGTCTCCCGCCTCGCGTCTCCGCTCCGGCCTGAGGACGGACAGCAACACCAGCTGCAGGTCAACCAGCCCATCCAGAGGAGCACCTGAGTGTCCTTCTATTCATCTTATAATAAGGGCGCACCCTTTTGGGGTTCCTTGCTTCACAAGGGAACCAAGAACCAAAAAACAAAATGGCCAAAGAGGTACCACTGGGTTACCAAGGCACTATCCTCCAAGCAGCTCCCAACATGCAGGAGCTGCTGAAGACATACCGGGAAGCCATGCTGGCTTCGCAACTGGCTTTTCCTAGGTTGCCCCCTTAATCCCCTGAAAACCACTCCTCACATTTGACCCTCTTAAACCCAAAATAAGGGAAAATACAACATGCCCCAAAGGGCCTAGAAAAAATATTCCTCACATATGATCCTCTTAGACCCAATAAGGGAAAATACAAAATGTCCCAAGGGCTTACCTCGCTTCAAGTCCCTCACGTCACTGAGGTGGCCTGTGACATCCTCTCCAGGGATGGCAGTCAGCCTTCGCCCAGACACGCTCCACACCCGAAGCATGACGCGGACTTCCCGGATGGGCGGGTTTACGGTTTAAGGTTTAGGGTTACGGTTAGGGCTTACGGTTTAGGGTTTAGGGGTTAGGGGTTAGGGTTTAGGGTTTAGGGTTTAGGGTTTCGGGTTTCGGGTTTCGGGTTTAGGGTCCCGGATTTGATGGGTACTAGCGATTTGCTTGGTCAGGGCGTGTAGGGCTTGTAGGGAGTAGATTGTCAGCACGCTGATAGTGGAACGACCACGAAAAGGAACTGCAGTGGAGTCTTCAGGTTGGAAGCCAACAATATGTGGGGTTTGCATGGGCTGCTCGGAATAGGGAGTTTTTAGGACTCCTGAACAGGGACCGTTACAGATGTAGAAAGAGAGAGAGAGAGAGAGTGTGTGTGTGTGTGTGTGTGCGTGTGTGCATTTTGTAGTAATAGACGTACCCAGGTCCACGTCTTCCCGTATATGCATGTGTGTGTATGTATATATATATATATATATATTTCACCCGAAACCCACTACTGTTCCCTCGCCAAGGCTTCTGGAATACAAAAAACGCAAACCTCCTGCCATGAAAGGGGCCCTGGGCACAGGCTTTCAGGGTTTAGGGTCTGGGGTTGAGGGTTTAGGGTTTAGGGTGTGGGCTTGAAGGTTTGGGGTTTAGAGATCAGAATTTCACAGGTCTAGGGATTCAGCTGTCTTCTCGAGCTAGGAACAAACAAGGAGTCCCTGTTTGCGTTATGGGGGCCGAGGAATTTGATTGCGACTCCCTGCAACACAAAGCAAACGCTAAACCCCAAACCCTTAAACCCCAAACACGAAACCCCAAACCCTAAACCGTAAACGAAGAGCCTGAAAAGGGCTCTGGGTTTTTATGTGTTTGGGGTTTCGGGCTTAGGGATTTCGGGTTTATTGTTTTAAACCCTGCACTACTATCATCCCGATGAAGGTTTATGAGCCCTGAACCCTAAACCCTAAACCCTAAACCCTAAACCCTAAACCCTTGGTCCTTAAAGTCGAGTGCTCTTGAACTGGTCTTGGAGTGCCATTCGAGTGGTCTAGGAGTGCATGTGGGGGTCATCTGCGAGTGGTGTTCGCGGAGTTTAGGGTTTAGGGTTTAGGGTTTAGGGGTTTAGGGTTTAGGGATTCAGGGTTTAGGGTTTGAGGTTTGGGGTTTAGGGCTTCGGGGCTGGATTGTCTTGCGAGTCTTACACTGTTTGGCGCCAAGACCTTGGCATAATCAAACATGTGACTCACGAAAGAGCTGCCCTTAGAATATGATCATCGTGCATCATTGCGCTAAGTGCGGTCTTTTTTGGCAACTTTATGTCTGCGCTACGTTGATTGCATGCATTCGCTTCACTTGGAATGTAACGATAGGTAAGAAAGCTATTGCTGATCCACTCGATGAGACGGAATTCCAGAACTAAACGAATCTGGAAGGGGAGGGGGATCCTTCCAGGCATAATAACATGAAGTACATCCAGATTCTTGAGGAACGCAATCAGCATACAAGAAGAATACAAATTCTCAACGAGAGCAGCCGAGAGCACCTGAGAAACGTGCGCATGAAAGCAGTCTTGCCGCCCCCCACCCTGCCATTTCTTGTCGAAAGTACAATCTCAATGCGGCCCTCGGAAGATCCCTACGTGATGATTCTCAACTCACCTTGCACGGCAGGCTCTTCGCCGCAGTGAGCGCAGCCACAACCTGAGAGTGGTGCATCGAAGATGCGTGCATGAGGGCAGTCATGCCGTCCCCGTCCTGCAAGTTCTTGTTGGCACCAGCATCCAGTAGCGAACGCACAATCTCCACGTGGCCGTTTAAAGATGCGTGCATGAGAGCGGTCACGCCGTCCTTGTTTTGCAAGTTCTTCTTGGCACCACCGTTCAGCAGCGACTGTACAATCTCATCGTGACCTTGCTCAGATGCGTGCATGAGAGCGGTCATGCCGTGATCGTCCTGCACGTTCTTGTTGGCGCCACGTTCTAGGAGCAACCGCGCAATCTCAACGTGGCCCTCTTCAGACACGTGCATGAGAGCCGTCATGCCGCGCTCGTCCTGCAAGTTCTTGTTGGCACCAGCGTCCAGCAGCAACCGTGCCATCTCAATGTGACCGCGGAAAGATGCGCCAATGAGAGCAGTTATATTGCCGGTCCCATCGATCAAGTTCATGGAAGCACCGCCTTTCAGCAGCAAAGCCGCGACCTCAACGTGGTTGTGGAGAGATGCGTGCATGAGAGCGCTCATGCCGTCCAAGTCAAGAAGGTTCGCGTCGGCCCAAGCCTCAAGCAGCAAACGAACAGTCTCAACGTGGCCGCTGACAGATGCGCGCATGAGAGCGGTCGTACCGAGCAGGCTCTGCAAGCTGGTGTCAGCACCGGCTGTAAGCAGCAGGCGTACAATCGCGACACGGCTCTCGGAAGATGCGTACATGAGAGCGGAAAAACCGTGACCGTCCTGCAAGTTCTTGTTGGCACCGGCGTCCAGCAGCAAACGTACAATCTCATCGTGGCTGCGGATTGCTGCGCGCATGAGTGGGGTTGTGTCAAACCTGCTCTGGAAGTTCTTGTTGGCACCGGCTTCCAGCAAAGTGCGTGCCACCTCAACGTGGCCTGTATGGGCAGCATACTCCAAAAGCTCGTCTCCAGCTTCAGACATCTGCTCCGGCCGGAGGCCGGACAACATCACCAGCTGCAGGTCAAACAGTCCATCCAGACAAGCACCTTAGTATCCCAGTAGCGGTACTATAAATAAGGGCGCACCCTTTTCGGGGTTCCTAAACCCTAAACCCTAAACCCTAAACCCTAAACCCTAAACCCAAAAAAAGGGAACCCAGGACCAAGAATAAAAAGGGCAAAGGGCATAAAGGGCACCACTTGGCTACCAAGGCGCCGTCCTCCAGGCACCTCCCGGACTCCAGGAGCTGCTGCAGGCAGACCTAGCTCATGGTTGGGAGAGTATTAAGATTAATATTCCTTTATTGGGTTTAAGTACCCTTGAAAATTTAAAAATCTATATTCCTTATTGGGTTTAAGTACCCTTAACAAAATTTAAAGTTTATATTCCTTATTGGGTTTAAGTACCCTTAGAAAATTTAAAACTTATATTCCTTATTGCGTTTAAGTACCCTTAAAAATGTAAAATGTTGCCCAACTATGACAAAGAGACCGGGAGGCCAAGCTGCCTTCGCAAGTGGCGCTTCAAGCCCACCACGTCACCTACAGGGCTTTCAGTGACCCCAGGGAAGAAAAAGTCTATACTGGTTTTGGGCTACTTACCTACCTTGCTTTAGGGAACCCTAAACCCTGAACCCTAAACCCTAATAACCCTAAACCCCAAAAGAATACATAAAGTATACTGCTGAACAGCCTGGTCGCTCAGATCCTCTGCGTTGACAGCGGCCAGCTCTCTCCCAGAAACGCTCCACACCCGAAGCATGGCGCGGACTTCCCGGCTGGGCTTGATTTTAGGGTTTAGGGTTTAGGGTTCGCGTGTTCTGGGCTTGAACGCTTAGAGGAAACCCTAGACCCCTAGGCTTTGCGTGGTCTGGGCTTGAAGGCTTAGAGGAAACCCTAAACCCTAAACCCTAAACCCTAAACCCTAAACCCTAAACCCTAAACCCTCAGCCCCAAAACCCGAAACTCAACTCAGTACAATTCACAGACGTCATGGATCATCAGTGGAGTCTTCGGGTAGGAAGCCAAAAGCACCGGGGAGTGGTATGAGCTTAGTCGAGAGGGAGCATATAGGACTCCCTACAGAGGGAGCCCCCAGAATAGAAAAAAAATAGGCCTTTTGGAGAAATCGAGGGCTTGACATACAAAGCAAACCTTAAACCCTAAACCCTCAACCCTCAACCTTCAACCCTCAACCCTCAAACCTCAACCCTAAATAAATGGGCCCGGGGTTCAGTAGTTGAGGGGCCGGAGCTGCGACAGATCTCTCAAACCCAAACCTTAAACCCTAAACCCTGAACCCTAAACCCTAAACCCTAAACCCTAAACCCTAAACCCTAAACCGACCCTAAACCCTAAACCCTAAACCCTAAACCCTAAACCCTAAACCCCAAACCCTAAACCCTAAACCCTAAACCCTAAACCCTAAACCCTAAACCCTAAACCCTAAACCTCAACCGCCAAGACATCAGTTCAGGCCATCACCTCGGCACGTGCAGCGGCGAAAGCAAGGGCCTCGGGCTCAGGCCCAGTAATCTGTGACTAACAAAGGAGGGTTCAGGGTTCAGGGTTAGGGTTTAGGGTTTAGGGTGTAGGGCTTAGGGCTTAGGGTTTAGGGTTTGGAGTTTTGGGGTTTAGGGTCTAGTGTACGGCTTAGGGTTCAGGGCTTCTCTTCGACTGCATGGGAGCTGCAAGTGAACAGGGGAGGGGAAGGCTTGACAGAAAGCTTCCGGGTTTGCATGGTTTTAGGTATAGGGTTCTTAAGGGAGGGGAACACTTGCCCTTCATGCGGCTGTCGTAGTCCTGCTGCGGCCAGACGGCCTCCCTCGACCAGCACTCTGGCCCTGTGAAGTTGTCCAAGGGCATCGGGGTCTTCGTCATCAGGAGGTCCCAAGTCCGAAGCTGCAGCCAGGGCAGCCAGGGGTGCCTCTTCGCGGAGTGGGAAAGCCAGCCACGGCTCCGTGGGATGGGTGCCGCGGAGGTCCTCCATCAGCGCCTCCAGCGAGGTCGGAAAGATGCTCATGCTGTCGAGAAAGACGTGGCCCCCCCCCCCCCTCCCCTAATCTGAAATTCACAGACAGCACGTGCATGGCTGCATCCAGTGCAGGGAGAGAGCAGGCTTGCAGCTAGTTGGCCGCGTCTGGCAGCTGCCACCGCAATGACAGCCAGGTAGGTTTGCAGTCTTGAAAACCAGCAGCAGCCAGCCAGTCAGCCTGCCTGTATTTATGTATCGCATCGCAAACAGTAGCCTGCAGGCAGTCAGGCATGCTTTGCACGAGCGATTGGAGTTGAAATGGGGAGAGAAGGAGGGAGTATGGGGTTTGGGGCTTAGGGTTTGGGGTTTATTTAGGGTTTACCCTTAAGCCCTAAACCCAAAAACCCTCTAAGCCTTGAGCCCTAAACCCAAGTCCTCTCAGCCTTCAGCCCTAAACCCTGAAACCACCCTAATGTCTCAACTCAAGGGCGGAGGCCCTCAACCCCCCCCCCCCCCCGTATTGGGCTGGTTGCCGGGAGGGTCCGGGAAAAAATGATATCTAAAAATGGGGGGGGGGGTTTAGTATTAGGGGCAGGGGATTACTACGGAACCTTGGGCTACATACCGCCCTTAAGAACCCCACAATTTAGGTTCGAGGGTTCGAGGGTTCTAGGGTTCTAGGGTTTCAGGGATCTAGGGATCTGGGTTTAGGGTAGAGCGCTTAGGTTTAGGGTTTTCCTTAAGAACCGCAAACCTGCTTTTGTAGACTACTGGTATTACTATAAAAAATTATCGTGGGATCTGTAAGGGCCCATATGCGAGAACGAAAACCCACCTGAAAAGTCCTTCGAACCCATTTCGGTCTGCCCCTCCTCCATGTGAAAGCAGGCATAGCCGTCGCCCTGTACAAAGACCTGCAACCCGCAAAACCAATGTGCGTCCTACGAGCCCTGGTAAAACCTTAAGTGTCCAGGTACCTAGATAGGACCCCTAATAAGGTACATGAGGTAGCGCTTTTGCCCCAATAGAACACGCCTAAACCCTAAACCCCAAATCCTAAACCCTAAGCCCTAAGCCCTAAGCCCTAAACCCTAAACCCTAAGCCCTAAGCCCTAAGCCCTAAACCCTAAACCCTAAACCCTAAACCCTAAACCCGAAACCCGAAACCCTACCTCAGATGCACCCTCACAGGGGTATAAACCAACTTGCCAGGAGGCCGCTGGGCTTAATGGCCCATTGGAGAAAGACCTGGGCTCCGGGATGCTGAGAGGCTAGGGTTTAGGGTTTAGGGTTTAGGGTTTAGGGTTGAGGGTTTAGGGTTGAGGGTTGAGGGTTTAGGGTTTAGGGTTTGGGGTTTAGGGCTTAGGGTTTAGGGTCCCCTAAACCCGAAACCCTAAATCCAGTTTTTGGGTTCGGGGGGGCCCAGAAGCCCCCGAGTGTGGTTAAAGACCAGGAAACTTGCTTTTGGTGGTGCGCTGCGCGTGTGAAAGAGGGGTTGAGCTGTTGCTTGGGCAAATTACCCCGGCGCAGGAAAAAACAAACTTCTACTCTACCCTAAACAGCTGGGCTCACAGTGCAGTTGCGAAGACATTTTGCGTGGGTGCTTCGCTTTGTGGCTTTTTGGGGCCTATAGTTGTGAGGAGCATTAGGGCGGGCTTTCGAGGATGCAAGACATCGATTTAGGGTTTAGGGTTTAGGGGGATGTCTGGTGCAGACCTAAGCTATAAACCCTGTTTAACTCCGGAGAAGTAACCTTCAGAACCCAAGATGTTTGTAGGTTCTGATGATCACAAGCCACCTTCTCGACCTCTTAGGTAGCCTACTCAAAATTAGGGTTTAGGGTTTAGGGTTGAGGGCTTCGGACGTGGGACCCCAAAGCCCTTGGCAGCCCGGCAATAATTATTTGTGGAATTGGACACCAAAAACCCTGGTCTTAGCAAATATGGTGATCTCTCCAAAATGTGGTGCTTTTTTGGGGCCCTTATCATAAGGCGGCCCCTATTATTTAGGCTATCCTGAAAAGGGACCCTAATTTACAGAGCTGACCATATGGTTTTTAGGTACCTCATTCCATAATCATGGGAACATGGCTAAGAAATGAGCCCCCCCCAAAAAAAAAACACACACACACACACAGAGACACGAATTCTTGTGCGAACTTTTTGGGGGCTTAGCATATGACTATACTAGGGATAACACCGCATACCCCAGCCTGAAGGTTACCCGAGAGAACCCTGAACCCCTAAGCCCGATGGCAACCCAAAGTTCTGCAAGCCCCAAAATCAGGAACCCATGCCCCAGATTTCAAAAAAAAAAAGAGGTAAACCCAATCCCGAAACTTATAAACCCTAAACCCTGAACCCCGAAACCCCTAAACCCCTAAACACCTAAACCCCTACACCCCTACACCCCTAAACCCCTATCCCCGTGAACCCCTAAACCCCTAAACCCCTAAACCGCTAAACCCCAAACCCATAACCCCTATAGCCCCTAACCCCTAAACCCTAAACCCTATGCAGCACGGGCCCCTCCCAGGGTCCGGACGCGCTGTTTGGCGTCTTCGGCGTGCGCGGAGTGCGTGGCGTCTTCGGGGTCCTGGCGAGGCACGAGGTTTGGGGCTCTGGGCTTCGGATCCCTCGTGGGAGTTAGGGTCTAGGGTTTAGGGTTTAGGCTTCGGGGTTTGGGGATAGGGTTTTAGGGTTAAGGGATAGAGTTAAGGGTTACGGGTTAAGGGTTATCAGGGTTAAGGTTTAAAGGTTTAGGGTGTAGGGTTCCTTTTCTGGGTAGTACATAAGGAGCATAAAGAGTTTGGTACCGAGACAGGAACTACAATGGCGGGTCTAGGTAAGCCCTAGAAAAAACAAACCGTACTTTACTGGGAGTGCTGCAGCCCCACCAGCCCAAAATCTCTGCCTTGAACCCTAAACCCTAAACCCTAAACCCTAAACCCTAAACCCTAAACCCTAAACCCTAAACCCTAAACCCATGGAACCCCTGAAGCCCCGTGATGTTTAGGGTTTAGGGTTTCGCCTAAACCCTAAACCCTGACCGCCCTGCATCCTCCACGTCTAGAAGTTGATAGGTTGCCCTAGTAAGAGTGGCCGAAGAATCTAACAGGGGTTTAAGGCTTAGTGTGATGAAAGGAGTTCGTAAACCCTAAACCCTATAAACCCTATAAACCCTGTAAACCCTATAAACCCTATAAACCCTATAAGCCCTATAAATCCGATAAGCCCTAGAAACCCGAAACCCTAACCCGCAGGGAGCCCAAGTAGAGGCAATCTGATACCCGCAAAAACTCGAGTACTACTGGGCATCCAGTAACTTCAACAGCGAGGTTACAGGTCATGAGTAGCTAGTTGAGGGCCCTGTTGGTGTCCAATCTTCGTTGGGGCAGTTACATGGTCCCTGAATATGGGCTGGGGAACCCGTATACCCCGTATGTACCCTGTAAACCCAAGGGCCCATACTTCAGAAACCTTTAAAGAAGGCAAGGGACCATGGTAGCGGACCCCCTAAGCCCTAAACCCGAAACCTTAAACCCAATGAAGGGATCATGTAACTTCTATTTCCAGACTGGAAGTCCAACCCCTGATATTGTACAATTGCTTAAGAACAATCCTCCTTATAAGGGCAATGTGTGGATTTTCATTTTTTGCTCTTTTGGGTGTCTTCAGCAAATAGTTGGAGTTCTTAAGCAAATGGTAGTATGGGGGGCGTAGGTGTGGGGTTGGAGCATTCCTTACAGCCAAAGACCTGTCACCCAAAGCCAGAAAGAATGCTTACAT